ATTTATTGTTGTTTTGTCATGGACTGCAACCCCATGGGCTGCAGCACGCCTGACTTCCCTTTCCTTCATGATCTCCCAGAGTCTGCTCAAACTCATGTCCATTGAGTTGGTGATGCCATCCCACCATCTCATCTTCTGTCGTCCCCTTCTCCTGCCTTAAATCTTTCCCAGCATCAGGGTCTTTTCCAGTGAGTTGGCTCTTTGCATCAGGTGACCAAATTATTGGAGTTTCAGCTTCAGCATCAGTCCTTCCAATGAAAAGTTACAGATTTCTAATTAAGAAAATCACCTTTCTTCTGGTTCCTGCTGAAATGAAAGCTCAGCATAGGAGTTAGGGTGTGAACTTTGGAGTAGAGCCCTGAGTTTGGTTCCAGTTCCAAGCCTTACTAGCTGTGCAGTCTTCGGTAAGTTACCTCTCTGTGTCTCAGATTCCTCCCCTCTGAAATATGAATACCACCTCTACATACCTCACAGGGCTGATGTGCGTATGAGATGATTTCACCTATGAATGTACTCAAGTGCAGTGAGTCCTCAGTAAATATTAGCGGCTGTTCTTACTGCAGGGCAGGCCACGGGAGGAGTCAGCCTGTGGGTGGCATGACTACATAGGAGAGTAGGAGAAGGGGAGATATTGGAGTGGTTTAGATGCCGGGTAGTCGGAGCGAGAGACTAGCTGATAGCACTGAGGCTTCTCAGGCGCCAGATTCCCAAGATAATGCCCATCAGGGGCACAGTACAGACTCGGAGCTCCCTGAGGCGCTGGAGTGGTGGCGGTCACTCTTAGTGTTGAATGACTCCGTGTCTCATGCATATTAAACTCCTACAACAGCACTCAATAACTAACAGCTGCTATTGTTATTTAGCGAGGACCCAAGTCCTTACCTGGCTTTCCAGGTGCTCAGTGATAAAGAATCCGCCTGCCAATTCAGGAGACAAGTTCCATCCCTGGGTCGGGAAGATCCCCTGGGGAAGGAAATGGCAACCCACTCCAGTATTCTTGCCTGGAGAATCCCATGGACAGAGGAGCCTGGCGGACTACAGTCCATGGGGTCGTAAAGAGTCGGACACAGCTGAGCAACTGATCACACAAGTCCTAACTTTCTCCATAAATTAAGTCCCATACAGTATTCTAAATTCATATATAATTGTGTGTGTCCACGACAAGCTAGGAGGAAAGGAAAGTTGCATAGAAGCAGAGAAAAATATTTTTAGATGAAAAATGGTCATTAGATGGATATGTAAAATCATCTGCTGCCAAAAAGCCACTGAAATTGATGTCCATGCCACTATTCAGTCCCTAAAAGGTGAGCCATTTAAAAATGAGTTGACTCAGACAAGGCTTTTAGGAAGTCACTGTCTCCTTTCTGTGTTACTTGGAATGATGCTTCTAGCTTAGAAAGAAGGATCTGAAACCAGAGACAAGTGATGGAATTGTTGGGCAATTGGTGGTAGCCTGTCACCTGGAGATCACTGGCATGACAAGGCCCAGCTGTTAATGCAAAAAATGCAATATCAAAATGTTTTCTCTCTCTCAAACTAAGGGAAACAGGTCTCAGGAAGCATAGGGTATTGGGTATAGGTTATCCACTTGTCACAAAGCTGCTATGGGAGCAAAAGGGTTCCACAGAAAGTGAGTGAAATTTGCTCAGTCATGTTCGACTCTTTGCAACCCCATGGACTGTATAGTCCATGAAATTCTGCAGGCCAGAATACTGGAGTGAGTAGCCTTTCCCTTCTCCAGGGCATCTTCCCAACCCAGAGACTGAACCCAGGTCTCCCTGCATTGCAGGTGGATTCTTTACCAGCTGAGCCACAAGGGAAGCCCAAGAATACTGGAGTGGGTAGCCTATCCCTTCTCCAGCAGATCTTCCTGACCTACAGAAAGCATCTTGGAATTAAAGTGTGGCTGCCAATCAATCTGTCCCTTCAATAGCTGTGTTTTGAGGGCCAGATCAGAAAAAGGATAAGGTATCCTTGGAAGCTACAAGTGGCCCTGTGCAGAGTATTACAGCCAGATTTGAAAGTGGATTCAGCAGGCCCAAGACCTTTGCCACGAGTAGAATTTCTTCTGATTTTCACATCAACTCCAACCAGTTTGGCATGGGGCTGAGTCATGCGGCCACACATGCACAGGAGGTGTGCTGGGGAGAGGTTTGCCAGGGAGAGGCCTCGGGAACTGGAGCTGCTGGGTTAGTTTCAGCGTGTTTGAGTTCTGTGATTCTGATAGCCTAAGAATGGAGTATGGAGTATGTATGTGTTCAGTCATTTCCGACTCTTTGAGACCCCATGGACTGTAGCCCATCAGATTCCTCTGCCAGTGGGATTCTCCAGGCAAGAATACTAGAGTGGGTTGCCATTTCCTACTCCAGGGGAACCTTCCTGACCTAGGGCTCGAACCCACGTCTCCCACATCTCCTGCATCAGCAGGCAGATTCTTTACCACTGGAAGAATGGAATATTGTACAAATAAGCACATTTTCTAAGGGAGCTCTTACTTCAGAAGGGCAAGGGGCTGAGGGAGCTTGTTCGCAGTGGGGAGCGGCTCTGTCCTCCTCAGACTCAGGTGCCTCTGTCCACTGTACCCGAGCCTCCTCAGGGGCACCCCTCCCTCCTAGGCTGCACTCTCAGGAGCCTTTCTACAGGGCCTGCAGCCAGTCTTCATCTGCCTGACTTGGGAGAGCCCAGCCGTGTGGCTCCTTGGATGCTTGTTGTCCCAGCATGTATCTCTAAGCAAAGATGGGTGATGGTTGACAGTCCATCCAGAACTTCCAATCTGATTTGCTCTCTCTTTATCCTTGTATCCAACAAACACTGACTGGGAATTCTGTCTTGCTCTTGGCATATTCTAGGTAGGGTGAATAACGTTTGTTTGAGGGTTTAACATCTATAGATGAGAAAGACATATATGGGAACCCACAGGCTGAGTTTCATCATGGTGAATTCCTATGTGACTGGAGTGTAGGATGGGTAAGGATCCCAGGGCATCCAGTCTCTAGGCTGTGACTCCAAGCAGGATCTGTAGACAGTATCATGTAGTGGTGAAGAGGCAACAGACATTGTAAGCAGGAAATCCATCCAATAAGGTGGCTCAACCAGGAGATGTTCTGTGAGGGAACTGTTTCAATTGAGTGGAATCAGGGCTCTGGGCCTGTGTGTCCTGCTTGGAGCCCTTTGCTGCCCTGATCCCCATTATAGAAATAGAAATATGTAAAATACTTGCCTTACTTACTTACTTACTGCTTTGAGGAGATGGAAATAAAAGAGCTTTGAAAAGTGAAGAAATTCTTTAGAACAATAAGGTATTTAGGCAGGGGGGCCAACAGTAGTATTATTTTTAATATGTTTTCATTTCTCTCATTACCACATCCATTCTCCATGAAATTATTTTTTTAGGGAAAAGGAAAAGGGAGGAAGTGGCTGAGCCTGCCTAGCAGGAAATACATAAATACCTGTCTCGGGACCTTGGAAGAACAGGGCTTCCCTGACTCTGAAAAGGGACCTGAGAACAGCCTGGGTGGTGCAGGAAGTGGCAGGCCTGCCGCTCCGTCTGTCAGGGAACAGCAAGGTCTGCCCACAAACCACCGGCAGCCCCAGAGGGGGCTTCCCACCCAGAGGCACCCTGCAGGCCAGCCCCAGGGTTTCCCCACAAGGGTGGCGTGCCAACTCCCCACCCCCTCGTGGATGGGAGTGGTTTCCAGGTGACTCACATGAATAAAATGCAGAAAATAAAGTCGAGGCAATGGGCATTATTCTAAGCAAGCCAAGTTCCAGACCCCATATTGTGTTCTAACTTATCTCAGGATCAGAAAAGGAAGTCAGAACCTGGCTTGTCCTTCTTTCTCTCACAATGAGAACGTTTCTGCCCTTTTCTTTCTCTGTGAGAACAGCTGTTCCTGTGGCTTGACTTTAGAACTGAGCAAAATTATCACTCAAATTGAGGCCGCTGTTATTGCTGGGGAGACAGGATGGGCTGATGGCCATGAGCTGGCTTTAGAGGCAGATGGGTATTTTTATCCCAGCTCTATGATCTTGGGCAAATCACTTGACCTTCAGGACCCAGCTCCTCTGCCTTAAAAAAAAAAAAAAAAAAAAAAATGAAGATAATAATGGCACCTGCTTCATGAAGATTAAATGAATAAATTTGTGCCAAGTGCTTAGAACAGTTCCTGGAGAAAAGAAGCCCTTAAAGCAAATATAGCTAATAGTGTATTAACAATAACACTGTTGGTGCATATTACCTTATCACCTCCCCTCACCAGCTTTTTCCTTGTAACATGTATAACCTAGCATGTGTCCTGTGTATGTGGCATTGCCCTGTAAAGTTCATCATTCACACAGAACCTTATTGCCTCGTCACTGTGTCTTCCACCCCTCTCCTTAATTAAAAGCCTCCCTCTTCTGTCCCACATCCTCCCTGCTTCCCTGTCTCTGCCTGGGCAGATCAACAGCCCTCTCCCCTCCCAGACACTTTGTCCTCAGGGCCTCTCACAAGGTGGGGAGAGCTGCTTATTCCAGAGAGACCACAGGCTCCTAGGAAGACGTGGGTTCTTATCCCCGCTCTGGCACTGGTTCCTCACCACTCTTGCGATCAGTCTTACCAGTTTATATGAATGGCACTAACACTCACTTCACAGGGGTAGGTAGGGGATGCTGGAAGGTACAGTGCCAGGCAGATAGGAGGCACTTGGAGGTGACTAAGAGCACGAGCTGTGGAATAGATGCTCGTTGTGTGACCCTGAGCGGCTTGCTTCACCTCTGTAAACACAAGCTTTCTTTGTTCCCTGGCGATTATAGTAGCCCCTCCCTCTCAGGATCCTTGTGCGGGTGTTGGAAGCGCTCAGCAGGAAGCATTCCCCAAGAGTTAACCTTTAGCCTATTAACAACTGAAGGCTCTGCCAGGTGGGATGTCTGGGGTGGTGGTGGCGGAGGCAGGTGGCAGCGCTGGTGCTGGCAGAGAGCGATCGTGACTGGTCAGCATCTTCTCTGTCCTCTCCCCACAGGGCTGTATGTGCTGGTTGGAGCAGGGGCCCTGATGATGGCCGTGGGCTTCTTCGGGTGCTGTGGGGCCACGAGGGAGTCGCAGTGTGTTCTCGGATCTGTAAGTGGGGAGAGATGGGGAGGGACTTGGCCTGGAGCTGGGCATTATCTTTGTCCCTATGTCTATGGAAAGCTTGAAAAAAAAAATTAGTTCATTACTGTGAAGATGTTTGGGGAGGAAAAGTGCCTGATGATACCTCACAGCGACTGAGGCAGCTACAAGATTCCTGTAGTCAGGGAAGCACTGTTATCTACAAGAAAAGTACTGCTCTTTGAGATCAATAATTTAAGCAAACATCCCTCTTGTGGTTTGTTTTAACAAGCAGCCTCTGTTTAAAAAAAAAAAAAAAAGGAAAAACTGCAGTTAACTGCTATCCATCCAATGCCAGTGTGACCAGAGGAAAAAGAGGCACAAGAAGGAAGTTTTTGTATTTCTCCACGAGGCATCAGAAACAGCAGGTTTATTAGGCAGCCTCTCCTTGCTCTCTGCAATCTTTGATGTTTGAACTGTGGCCACTTTTCCTGATCTCCTGCCATGTAAGGTTTCTAACTCACTTCCTCAGTTCTCCACTCTTTCTTTTTCCCCTGTTGTGGAGCATCTTGTGTCTTGTTTATCACTGAACTTAGTTTAATCAGAGCACACCCACGAGATCAGAGCAGAAATCTGTCCAGAAGAATACCCTTCACCTCCACCCCCTCCTCCTCAGAGAATCCATCTAGAGCATCCAGTCTCAGGTCACCTCCCCAAATCCAACACTTCCAGTCACTCTCTATCTCCTGGTCTTATTTTATATCTTTATAGAACCTCTTTTGTTCATCAAGCAGTCACTGAACATATGGGTACCAGGCACTGGTGGAATTTCTTTATCACTCTGAAATTATCTTACTCTTCTATTGCTTACTCATTCATCATTTCCTCCTCTTTCTATTATTAATATTACGTCCAGAAGAGCAGAAACACTGAGATCTTATCTTATTCACCACTGTATACCCAGTGCCCAGGGCAGTTCCTGGCCCAGAGCAAATGCTCAATAAATGATTGCTGAATGAATTACTGAGTGAACAAACAGCAAGTGGACTAAGGGATCAGATGCTTCCTTCTGTAATATTTCTGTTCAAACTAATAACCTTGTTTTTCAAATGGAATTATAATTAAATAGGTTAAATAAATTGAAAAGGTTATTGAATTAATGAAGTTAGTATTTTCTCTCCTTTACAGTTTTTTACCTGCCTATTGGTGATATTTGCTGCTGAAATAACCACTGGAGTATTTGCTTTCATAGGCAAGGATGTAGTAAGTAAATGTCACTTATAAATGTTCTTTAATGATGGTTAAAGTGTTCTCTTTATGACAAAGGATATGAGAATATTGACAACCACAGTGATATTCCAAAGCCAAATAACCCCCACAATTATCTTTTATGCAGAATTTTTAACCTAAAAACGTGGTGCAGGCTTAAGTATGTGGGTGTGTGTGTGTGCGCGCGCGCATACATGTAAGTGTACATATATTCCTGGGGAGGTAGTTAATTGCTTTCATTAGATACACAAAGGAATCTATGGGTTTTTGTAACAAAAGGATCTCTAATTTAAGGTGATCCCATTTGGAATGTGGGAGGAGCTAGATTACAGGTGTGAGAAGTAGGGATGGGGAAGAACACACATTCGCATCTCTGTTTGCCTGTCCTTTGTTCTTAGGGTTTGGCCTGGGCAGAGGCCAGGTCAACCTCAAAGACTACAGTCTGCCTTCTGGGTGGCCATGAAGCCAGTTTAGATTTGTGCTCAAACTGTAAGTGTGCAGGATAAGTTATCAGAAGAACCCACAGACAAAGGGAACTTTTTAGGCTTAAACATGCAAAGAGGAGTGAAGTGGAAGAGGAGGAAGAATGGAATCCTAAGTTTTGCTGTATTTCATGTAAATTCACATGCTATCAATTCTCTTTATGAATTTATTTTAGATTTTTTAAATGGTAAATATGTAGAATGAGTAAATATCACCTCCTCTGGAATTTTTCTGAAGTTGTTGTTGTTCAGTTGCTAAGTCATGTCTGACTCTTTGGGACCCCATGAACTGTAGCACGCCAGGCTCCTCTGTCCTTCACCACCTCCTGGAGTTTACCCAAATTCCTTTAACCTCAAATATGTAGGTTAGAGGAATTGGATCTTATGACTTCTTGAGAGCCTATGGATTTGGGGGTCACATGCTGTTACACTAGAAAAAGCATTCTCTGCATTTTCTATGGTATTTAAATGCTGAAACAGTTTTCCTTGGTCATGAACACCTTTTAAACCATGTCATGAAAAGATTTGAGTACTTGTTCCAAGGGAATCCAAAGAATGCATAGGTTTCTACCCTGGCTGTGCATCAGAATCACCTGGGTGGGGCCCAGGAACCTGGGGTTCAGTTTTTGCTGCTGTCCATTCAGGGCTGAGAACCTCCACTCTAAGAAATCTTTCCATTCTGTGAAAATTATTTTTGGTTAGGCTATCCTTCCATCAGAAGCATCTTAGAAATTCCAGAACCTGCAATCTGGTCCATATATACAGAATTACCCTCAAGTCCAAATAAACACATGGAAAGGCCATATTCTTGAAAGATGGGGAAGAGGGATTTTTTTCTTGATGAAAGGAGAGCATTTGAAACTTCCCACTCATGTCCCTTTGTTTTCCTGATTTTTTTTTTCAGGCAATACGACATGTTCAGACCATGTATGAAGAAGCTTATAATGATTACCTTAGAGACAAGGAAAAGGGAAATGGGACTCTCATCACCTTCCACTCAACGGTAAGTGACTTTACTTCTTCCTTCAGATTTCATCTTCTAAAGATTATTGAGTCACCGACTCAATGGACATGAGTTTGAGCAAACTCAGAGAGATAGTGAAAGACAGGGAAGCCTGGCATGCTGCAGTCCCTGGAGTCACAAACAGCTGGACATGACTGAGTCACTGAACAGCAACAAATACTATGCACAAGCTAGGTTCTCTCTAATCACTTAAATTAAAAATAAGAATAAATTGAGTGAAGCCAGGCAGCAGCATTGTATTTCTGCCTTCGTGGGAGTCACCGTTTGCGTTATATGTAGAATCTAGAAGAGAAAAAGGTCTAACACAGAGTTGACAAGAGGAAGTCTGGACATGCACCCAGAGAGACAAAGCTGCCTGAGTAAATGCCAGCTTCGGTCAAGAGTGGCCCTGCGGTGTAACAGGAACCACCATGACCCTCACGTCAGAAAAGCTTATCTCTAGCTGCTACTCTGCCGCAGAACAGCTTCATGACTTGGAGCAAGTTCCTTGCCTCCCTGATCCTCACTCAGCCCCTAGTTGTGAGCCAAAGGGGTACGTGAGAGAGCATGTGTGGCTTCTACCAGAACGTCCTGTGGGAACGTGCTGTCTGGGCAGTACTCTTCAGCTACCAGCGGTTAATCGAGAAAGACTTCCGGGGGAGATGGGCCAGGCCAATGGTGTCCTGATTTCTCAAGCACTGTGATACAGAGAAGCAGCAATGAGCTCCTGGCCAGGTGTTTTCAGGTAGCCCAGTTCTTGTCTGTCACAGGTCTGTCCTGGAAGTTGCCAACCATTTATCCTGTTCAGCCACAGCCACCCCGAGGACGTCAAACAGCACACAGGTTCCTTTGTCTTTGAAGGGCAGCCCTAAGGAAGGATACCTGTTGACTGGCCAGTCTTTTAGTCCCTGGGGTTCTCTGTGGTCACTTCTCCTCTCTATTCCAGGCTCTCTGCAGTTAATGAGCCTTTCCTGAAGCTCTAAAAACATTAGCTACTCAGCAAACCCGAAAGGAAAAATCTAAAGACCCAACTCCTGTCTAAAAACAGCAGTTTACACAGGCACTGTCAGCTTCTTACCTTGTTTGGATTGCCTTCAGTCACCTCTTGTCATAAAAGGTGGACACTTTGGTGAAGTCATTTTTCTGCTTTGCCAGCATGACCATATGACCACACTCTCCCCAGAATGGCTGTTGGGTTGCAATGTCAGGCAACAAAGATGTTTTGTGGCCTCAGCAATCCCAGTCCTTTACAGAGAGACCCAGACTTGTAACTGCTACTTCTTCCTCTGTGCCCTCCCATTACCTTCCCTAAAAGCTCTTTTCTGACTTTCTAGTTTCAGTGCTGTGGAAAGGAAAGCTCTGAACAGGTCCAACCCACCTGCCCAAAGGAGCTCCTAGGACACAAGGTAAGCTTCTCTACAAGATTCCTATCCTGCCTGTGGTGTTAAGATGGTTCTTGCCCTCAGGATAGAGGGTGTGATTCTAGGAGGCCCTTTCACAGTGGCTTCTAGCCTCAGTTTTATTCTATATAGAACAAGTGAAGCAATACTGAGTCCCAGTCTCCTGATACCCTGGGGAATAATGGTGTGCTGACTTGCCGGTGATAAGGCAAATAGAGTGGCATTCGTTAAGTTCACCAAGGCCAGGGGTGTGCACTCTGAGAATGTTGCCCCATACCCTTCCATGGGTGTCATGGCACTGATATATGCTTCCTTTATTAAATGCTACATAACAGGCACTATGCCAGGTTCTGAAAACTCTAAGATGGAAAACAGATGGTCCCTGTCTCAGTGGCCTCACAGACTAGTCAAGGGAGCTGGTGCAGTGCAGAGTACAGTATCTGCCCAGCATACAGTGGAGACACAGGGGATTCAGGAAAGCTTGACCAAGGATGGGATTCTTGAGCCAAGTTTGAACAAGGGGAGGTCATTCCAGGTCCTGAAAGTAGCAGGAACAGAACACATGACAGTATGAAATTCCAGGACTGCAGGAGCATAGGGAGCCCAGAGGGAATGGCAAGGGACACTTTTGGAAAGGCTGGCAAAGGCGTGATTTTGTACCTGGAACTTGAGGGAAGCCATTGCTTTTAGTAGAGGATGAACATAATCGGTTTCGCATTGTAGAAAGAGCACTCAGGCGACTGGGAGTGTGACTGGTAGAACAGAAGGCTGGAGTGCCATGGAGGGAGGCCATGAGGTGACACCTGTTTTCACCCTGGTAAGAGAGGATGAAGGCTTAGAGCAAGTTACAGACAGTGGGGAGGGAGAGGAAGCGACAGACTCAGAGATGTCCAGGGGTAGAATCCACAGCCCTAGGTGGCTGACTAGATGTGGGTAGGGAGTAAAAGGGAAGAAGCTAAGACTTTGGACTCCTGCTGGGTAGGCAGAGACTCACTCACTAAGAGAGGTGAACAGAGGGAAAGGAGCAGTCGACAGCTTCAGTTTCAGTTAAGTTTGCACACTAGGTACCTGTGAAATTTACAGGTAGTCTGAGATGAAGACACAGGTGTCAGAATCCAGCAAGCTGGTGATAGCTAAAGCCTAGGAGTGGATGGAAATGCCCAGGGGAGCATGTAGAATAAGGAAGGAGGTTGGCTAAAGTACTATCATTTAAGGGGTAAAGTGAAGACAAAGTGGGCTTCCCTGGTGGCTCAGTGGTAAAGAATCTGCCTGAAATGCAGGAGACATGGGAGATGTGGGTTTGATCCTAGGGTCAGGAAGATCCGCTGGAGAAAGAAAAGGAACCACTCCAGTATTCTTGCCTGGAAAATTCCATGGATAGAGCAGCCTGGTGGGCTATACAGTCCATGGAATCACAAAGAGTTGAACACGACTCAGTGACTGAGCATGCACACTCATGAGGACAAGTAGCCAGAATGAGATTGTGTAGGAGGAGTCAGAATGAAGGAAAGTTCGAAGACAATGCTCCTGCAGAGTGAGGGAGGTGGTGCCTTGTCCATAAAGTCAAATGCTGAGGAGAGGACAAGGACATAAAGGCTGGAAATAATGTGTTGGATTTGATGCTTAGAAGATCGTTAATGACATTTGCCATGAAGTTTTGGTGAAGCAGTTGGGAAAGCGCAGGAACAATGTGGGAAATAAGGAGGGAAGTATGAGAATGTTTCTAGAAGCATCTGTATCATGGTCCTCATAGTATCCTATCTCCTCACCTTACCTCTTAGTTTCTTTTTCACAGAAAGAAACTTTCTGTGAAAGAAAGGAGGGGACATGGGCAGAGCTGGAGGACACTATTAGAGGGGATTTCTGTTTTAGACTGCAGATCATGTGCATGGTGTTACATGATGAGTGACAGTGTCAGTGGAGAAGGAGAGGCTGAATGTGTAGGAAGGAAGGGAGATAAGTGGCAGTACAAGCTTCCAGAAGTGAGAGAATAAGATCCAGAGTCAGTAAAGGGGTTAACTGTCCACAGACAAGGGCAGTGACAAGAAGTAGTGTGCCTTGCTCACCTTGCATACTCCCTGCAGAGAGTAGTACCTGGCACTAGATGAATGGGGTGTGTAAGTTTATAGGAGCAGGTGAGGAAGATCGGAAGAATTTCTATGGCTTGACTCCAGTAAGTAAAGGAGTCGTTATTTAGAGCAGTGGTTCTCAAACTTTTACCAGAATGCAATGTAATTATTTTTGTGAGTCCATGGCCTTCTCTAAACTACTAGATCCCTGAGAGTGAAAGAAACCATGTCTTATTATCTCCAAATCCATCACGCCATTGCAGTGGCATAGCGTGTAAGGCAGATGCTGAGAAATGTTTGTTGAATGAATTAACCATGATATGATATGATAGGAGATGTGAGGAGAGTGGTAAGAGTTTCATATAGCTTATGCAAGTATCAGAGAGAGCTGATCATTGACAAGTAAAACGACCTGGGCAGCCTAAGGACAAATTTGGGTTGCAAGAATACCTCTGTATTTAAGAGGACCAAACAGAAGTTGGAGAAAGTAATTTCAATTATTATACGAGTGAGCTATTCTGCCCCTGTGTCCAATATTCCCCCATCCGTGAAGTTTCTTTGGGCCTGCCCTGCACAGTCTCTGTGGGACGCAGATGGAAGAATAAGGCCATCCATCTCAGCCACCCTGGAAGAAAACATTCCTCCAGCCCCCAGCACTTGGCTTTCCTTTGTTAAATTTGAACCTATACAGACTTCATAGCTTCTTACTTACATACCTACCACTAGGTGATGCCTACCTTGCATTGTGAATTGGACTAAGTATTTTTAAAAAGTATGTAAAATCATTTAAACTATAAATGGCAACCCAAAACAAAGGGCTATTATTCTGGGTGTATTTTACTTATTTTTTATTTGCTGAAAGAAAGGAGAGGCTGCAAATTTTTAAACGCCTCATGTTCCAGAATAGCTTCCCCCAGCCAGATTTCAGGGCTTTGAAGCAGCCATTGGCCTAAATAGGAAAATTCCACCAAAAGGAGAGTATTATCTGTTTTCTCCCAACTACATTTTTGATTTAGCAGACCCTAAAGGAGATTGTAAGTACCTAGGAAGAATGGTTTAAATATGACCAGAAGCTGACATAGGTCAACTCTCACAGGAATGGATTAGAACTGGATGATTCACACATGCCATCAGTTGTTATTCCTGACCTTCTCTTTTCCAAAACAGAATTGCATTGATGAAATTGAGAGCATAATCAGTGTTAAGCTCCAGCTCATCGGAATTGTCGGTATTGGAATCGCAGGCCTCACGGTAAGAAAGTTCTAGAATGTACCTTCTCTGACCCCCTAAAAAGCCTTTGAACCTTTGCATCTTCTCTTCAAGTGTGATGTGGCAGTGTCTTTGGAGAGATTTCTCATAAAAGGCAAAGACTTTTTGACAGGATATCTAAGAACAAAGCTAATTAGATCCATCAATACTTAATTCTCTAAAAATATGATACAAATCTCCATTTTAAACAAATTATGACTTTGAGTTTATCATTGCAATAGCTTCCCATTTTAAGGCCATCAAGCTTAAACTAGACAAGTGATTTTTAATTCCGAGTCTCTTCCTTTGTTAGAAATTGAAGATAACATAGGTTAAACTCTCTCACCTATGATCTTCAGAGGCAGCACCATGTAGTGATTAACAATGTGACCTCTGGTATCCCACTCCCTGGATTCAACTGCTAGCTCCACTACTTACCAGCCCTGGGGGTCACTGGAAGTTTTCTTAATTTCTCTATGTCTTAATTCCTTCATCTGCAGAATGGGGATCTTAATATATCAACCTCATAAAATTGTTGTGAAGATTAAGTGGGATAATAGATATAAAGAATAATTAGAAATTAATTCATATAAAGTGTCTGGAATGCAGCAGTCAATAAATGCTAGATCTACATGTAATGAGTATTCCCAAACCAGGACCCAGGCAAAATATACATAGAAGTCTGAATTGAAGCATAGTGCACCCATGCACCGGCAAGTAGCTCAGTACCTCTAAAGCCCAAAAGAAGAATGTACAAGAGTCTATAGGGTCAGAAAGCTATGTGAGGTGTAGGAAGAGATGACACTGGAATGGTTTAGGAGGGTCCACATAATTGAGTTCTTTGTGTTACTGTTTGATAGGTCGGGCTTTATCCTTTAAGGTAGAGGGGAGCCACCCAGGTTTGGAAGGACATGTAGTTCAATGTGGAGATAAAGTTGGAGGGAAGCAAGACTTAGGTAAGCCCCTAAAGAGGTGATTTCCACTGTCCAGGGGTTGAGTTCTAATGCTAGGATAGACTTGGGGCTTCCCTGGGAGTTCAGCTGGTGAAGAATCCACCTGCAATGTGGGAGACCCTGGTTCGATTCCTGGGTTGGAAAGATCCCCTGGAGAAAGGAAAGGCTACCACTCCAATATTCTGGCCTGGAGAACTACCATGGACTGTGTAGTCCATAGGGTCGCAAGGAGTTGGACACGGCTGAGCTGCTTTCACTTTCACTTCAAGATAGACTTAGGCTTCCCAGGTGGCTCAGTGGTAAAGAATCTGCCTGCCAATGCAGGAGACACAGGATGTGTGGGTTCAATCCATGGGTCAGGAAGATCCCTTGGAGGAGGAAATGGCAACCCACTCCAGTAGTCTTGCCTGGAAAATCCCATGGACAGAGGAGCCTGGTGGGCCATAGGGTCACAAAGAATCAGGCATGACTGAACAACTGAGCAGATGAGATAGACTTACCCTCTAGTCCTCCTTTGTAGGTTAATTCATGGTCTAAGCTAAGGCGAGGGCAATGGAATTGTGAGGAAGTTAATGAATTGGCAGTTCTCAGGGGACACACAGTCATCTTTGCTCCTTTCTTGTATTTAGAGCACAGAGGGCTGGGGCAAAGGGTGAAAATACTATGCTGAGGACATCCCTATCTGGGGACCTCTCTCAGGCCCCTCCCCACCCACTCTGGGGCTAGCCTGATGACCAGTCTGTGGCTTCCCAAGGACAGTTCTGAGACAGAAGATTTGAAAAAGATCTGCATTAACAGAAGTGTCAAATAGACCCAGCCAACAATTTTACAATCTCAAGTGCCCATTCTAAAAGTGGTCGCCCCTGACTCGCGACAGTGCCAGGGGGAGACTGAAGAAGCTTCTCTCTGAGGGTACAATGTGGCTTAAGTAGGGGTTGCATCCAGCCTTACAACCATGGAAAAGGGGGAATGCCCTCTGTTGGCCATCTTGACTCAGCACCCCCAAAGTTCCTTCTTTTATTCTTTTCTTCATAAGGTAAGTTTTTTTGTGTAATCAGTTAACAAGATGGCCATTAGGTGTCTCCCCTGCCACACCCTGGTGCTGAATTCTGTCAGTCAGAAGCTTGGAGTCCCGAACCCGGTTATTCCCTTAAGTCTATCTTTTCCCTTCCAAAAACTGATAACATGTGCCTTTTTAAACCCAGCATTTATAGATCTTAGTCTGATGTAGGGTGAGATTGAAGAAAGCATCAGAGTTATGATACTAATTTCTTTGAACAAACATTGGTAGCAGTTTATAAATATCACACCTACACATAGCATTTCACAGACTCTACAAAATTGTAGAAGTTATTGAGGACAAAAATGATTTTTTGGCATCCTTCTGTTCAAACCATTTAAGTAGCTATTGATTTTGCCAGATATTTAGCTTCTCAAAGAATTATCCAAGACATAGAAGATGTCAGTAATGCCATAGTTCAAACACCTCAGTTTATGCTTTGGTGAAATTGAGTTAAATAATGATGCTTTATTAAGAATCATTTGCACTTAAAAATTAACTGGAAATGAAGAGATGGTCCACTTTTTTAATAAATCAGTGGCTTTTTTTTTTTTTTTTGCCATGCTACTTGGTATGCAGAATCTTAATCATAGTTCTCAGATCAGGGAATGAACCCATGCCCCCTGCAGTGGAAGCCTGGAGTATTAACCACTGGATTACCAGGAAAGTCCCAAGATGCTCCATTTTTTAATATGTGGTCAGTGTTGCAAAAATTCAAAGCTTTGGCAGCAATAGAAAACTATTTAGACCACAGGTGTATTTAAACAACAAATGGTTACAAACACATTTTCCAAAGTAAAAATAAAAATGAGATCTGGGGTTAACCTGAAATATAAAATTCCAAAACCAGTAGTGTATTAAGTCTTTTATAATTATTAAGAACAGTCCTATAAGCTAGAAATAGATGCCTTTTCTTAGAGCAGAGTCTTGTTATTTTTAAAACAATAATAAAATAGGAATGTATTTTAAGCAGTTAATGGAAGTCTTTAACCAGTAGCCATAATTGTGTATCACACATAAAAGTGCCACTTATAACCAGTAATTATTGGTTATAATTACTTGTTAACTTGAGTTAAACATACAGGCAGTTTGCTGGCCTTTTTTAAAAATCAATTTTCATCATTTGAAAGTCATTAACAAGTGGCTTCTTCTGTTTCAGATCTTTGGCATGGTATTCAGCATGGTCCTTTGCTGTGCGATACGAAATTCACGAGATGTGATATGAAGCTACTTCTACATGAAAAGTGTAATCTAGAGTATACAAATGTCACAGGGGCTGTCTCCTGGCTCGTCTTTAATATTCAAAGGACATTAGGATCTAAAATAATTTGCTGTTAATTGTACATTTGCACATGTATGTGTGTTTGGCTCAAGACTGGTTTTCACCCTTAATGAATGCCTATGTATGCTGACTGAGAGCATGTTCATGTGTGATCTGCGTGTTTCTGGTATATGCATAATGAAATCTGGTTGCTGGGAATTCCTGAATCTTGGTATGTGAGCATATTTAACTCTAAGAAAAAGATCAAAAAGTTTTGAAAAAAGAAACTTGGTTATTTAGAAGAAAAATGATAGTAGGTCAGTTTCTCAGACTCTAGCCATAGGAAGTAAGATACAGAGAATTCAGGGATTTCTAACTTATGGAAGCAATAAGCCACAGAAATTGAGAGATCATGGTGCAATGATAAAAGCAACTGTGTTTGGGTTAGGTGTAAGGGTTTCCTGGGATTTTTTTAAAATATATGTAATCTCTCCAGAATTTAGAATTAAATACACCTGTAAAACTAAATATAGCATGGAAAATCTAATTTGAATAAGTCATACTTTCCTAGTATTAAAAAAAAAAAAAACCCTCACTCTGGAAAGAGTGTCACACAGACAATCACATGCTCTATAAAACCGTGTTTTCAGGACTAAAAGGAAAATCTTTTAACAACGTTTTAAGGAAATATTTTTGTTCTTATATAAAGACAGTTAAATAATTTTGTTCTTATATAAAGACAGTTCTGACTCTTCTCTGAATCACTGCCACCCTCACATCCACAAAAGGGCTTTGATCTCAAACTTTTCTGTGTTTCTTCAGATAGAAGCATAGAAAGACTAAAGCAAGAGATCTGGCAGTTGCAACTTGTGGGAAAGAAAATTTTTACTGGCACTGTATCTTTGAAATACCTCATAACTTGAGTTTACATATTTTCCTAATTTTTTGTAGTTTTCTTATTTATTCACCTAGAGAATTCTTCTTTATAGATTAAGAACTACAAGTTTTCACCTCTTAAAATATATCAGAGCATCCTTAGCTAAACCAAAATAAAGGAAAACATCCTCTCCTAGTTTTGTGCACACAACAGAGACAAGCTAAGGAAATAAAAATACACACACAACAGAAACATGTTCCTTCTGTGCAAGTCTCTTCATAAAAATAAAAGGTTTGTGTTCTTTATGGTCTTGATGCTTCATTGTAATCCCAAATTTATAATCTAAATTGACATGTATGTCCATTTTTAACAATTTGCTGCATCTAGTAAATCATAGATTTTTTTTTAATTTACATTTTAAAAGGCCACACAAAAATGAAAGTATGGGGGACTTTTGAAACCCTCAAATAAGTTTATACTTGTGTGAGAACACAAATCTTTGGGTCTGTGTAAGGGAAAGTGTACACTTCAAGAAACTTTCATAAAACATTTTGCTGAAAAGGCCTATCCATTTGAAATAATCTCATTCCCTTAGAGAACTGCGTTTCTCTTGCCATACTTGCTACTGCTAATAATCATGGAGGAAGATTTCTAGAAAAAAAGTCCAGTTGGAGGCAAGCTGAAAATTTAATTGTGCATGGTTACTTTGCTCTGTCCATAGGTAACAAAAAGATTATTTTAAGAAAATCACTTCATGAAATAGATGTTTCTATGCTGGTAGTTGAGAAATAGAGCTCTGAAAGTAAAGAACAAGCAGTCCATCTCTCTTGGTGGCTTTACTTCATTTGTCTGCCTAAAGACAGGAAACAAGCCTCAGGGTATACTTAGGTTTCTTTCAGCTCAGATTCAACAAAAGTGAGTTTCATTCTATATCTGAATTAACCTTAAAGAAGTTTAGTTAAAAGTGGAAGAGTAGAGATTCGTTCCATATATGATTAAAGTGCACCTTTTGGGAGTAATTTTTCTAAAATATGTGCCATGAGTGAAAGTAGAGAATTTAACCTCTGGGTGAGAGTAGACTTATATACGTATATATCTTGACTCTCTCTCTATATATAGAATATATATGTATAACCTGAATATATGTATACATATATAAACACATGTATACATATATGTGTACAAATATATATGCACATATATAAGTTTTTGGTTATATTTGTTTACCTGAACTAATATGAGATCAGACCCAAACATTTTCTTAAATGTATGGTACCCAGACACTGAATCAAAGCATATTGATGAAATATTTTAAGTTATTTCAAATTAAATTTTCTATGTACTACAATTGCTTGTTTGATTTATCTTAAAATTCCATTATATATTTATCCACACCTTCATACAACTTATCTAAACATCTAACTATTAATATCAATCAACCTAAACAATTGATGAAAAAAGGAAAGAGTAGTAACCTTTCCATAGTGTTATTAGTGGAAACTATGGATCACAACAAACTGGGAAATTCTTAAAGAGATGGGAACACCAGACCACCTTACCTGCCTCCTGAGAGATCTGTATGCAGGTCAAGGAGCAACAATTAGAACTGGACATGGAACAACAGGCTGTTTCCAAATAGGAAAAGGAGTATGTCAAGGATGTATATTGTTGCCCTGCTTATTTAACTTATATGCAGAGTACATCATGTGAAATGCCAGGCTGGATGAAGCACATTCTGGAATTGCCAGAGATCCAACCAGTCCATCCTAAAGGAGATCAGTCCTGAATATTCATTGGAAGGACTGATGCTGAAGCTGAAACTCCAGTACTTTGGCCGCCTGATGCGAACAGCTGACTCATTTGAAAAGACCCTGATGCTGGGAAAGACTGAAGGCAGGAGAAAAAGGAGACAACAGAGGATGAGATGGTTGGATGGTATCACCAACTTGATGAACACGAGTTTGAGAAAGCTCTGGGAGTTGGTGATGGACAGGGAAACCTGGCATCCTGCAGTCCATGGGGTTGCAAAGAGTTGGACACGTCTGAGTGACTGAATTAAACTGAACTGAAGTGGGAGCTGGACTTAAAACATTCTCATAAAGTTATTGTATATAGTTCTATTTCAATTAATACTGTTTCACCCAAATTACATTTCTCTTCCCCAGAGTAGCTCCTTTATTATCCAAAATACAACCTATAAAACTGCACACTGCTCCCTTGTAATGCCCTTTGACCACCAGGCCCTTGATTTCAGCAACCCCATTTTCCCTACCCCTAGGAGGGAGCACCAACGGGCCTTTGAAGTTAGTTGCCTAACTACATCATCTTAGTTTGGGCTTATCAAAATCAAATTTGTGTCAAGGTATATTTTAAGACGGGCTTCCCTAGTGACTCAGCAGTAAAGAATCCGCCTGCAATGCAGGAGCCCCAGGAGACAGAGGCTCAATCCCTGAGTCAGGAAGATCCTCTGGAGGAAGGCTTGGCAACACACTCCAGTATTCTTGCCTGAAGAATCAAGAGGAGCCTGGTGGACTACAATCCATAGGGTCGCAGGGAATCACAGGTGACTGACATGACATAGCATACACACACGTATATTTTAAGAAAGACAAAAGGTTTCTATCTTCTTTCAACATGACTCTTTTTTCTATAAGATGTACCTGTGAGGTATTGCGTGTGGGTGTCCTTTGAAAGGTAAAAAGACTACACCAATGCAAAATGTTATTAATCATTTTGTTGATATTCTCATTTTAACAAGGATGACTAAATACATTTCAGGAGTCCACTATTCGGATGGCTCTCTCCTGGGGACATGGAACACATGAGGAATAGAAGTAATATGTCCAGAATGCTACAAAGAAAAATCCATGCTGATTTCACAAAGTTTATAGCTCATATGCCAGTAACACTTCCAAAACTTTTGATGTTGTTTTGTTTTTGTCCTGTATAACTTATGATGGTTTTACTTATATTAAATAGAAGAAATTTAAATTAAATTAAAAGGTATAACTAGCAAAGTGTCTAGCATACCTAACATTGATAAATATTACCTATTGTTATTATGTTTATGAGTTTTGTTAATTATTAGGTTGGTATGAAAGTAATTGTGATTTCAGATGTGAGATTTAAATCATTATAATTTGACCAAACATATCTTTATTAATCAAAATAGGAACCATTACCATCAACACATTTTTGCCAATGAGAATTAAGTTTGTTTATTCCTGTAGTGTAAAAATCTGTGCTTCAGGATTCGACGAATTCTTGGAAAGCATTTTCTGCCTGCTGCTGGTTGTCAAGATGCTTGAAGAAGTAGTAGTCAGTTGAGAAGAGGTCAGGTAAATATAGCTGATGAGGCAGCCCAACTCATTCAACTTTTGAAGTGTTGGTTGTGTGACATGCGGTTGGGTGTTGTCATGGAGAAGAATTAGGCCCATTCTTTTGACCAATATCAGGTGCAGGCATTGTAGTTTTCAGTGCATCTCATCAATTTGCTAAGCATACTTTTCAGATGTAATAGTTTTGCTGGAACTCAGAAAGCTGTAGTGGATCAGATCTGCAGCACACCACCAATCAGGGACCATGATATTTCTTGGGTGCAAGTTTGGTTTTGGGAAGTGCTTTGGAGCTTCTTCTCGGTCCAGCCACTGAGCTGGTCATCAGCAGTTTCATATAAAATACACTTTCCATCACATATCACAATCCGACCAAGAAATGGTTTATTGTTGTGTAGAATAAGAAAAAACAACACTTCAAAATGAAAATTTTTTAAAATTTTCAGTCAGTTCATCAGGCATCCACTTATCAAGCTTTTTCACCCTCTAATTTGATTCAAATGCCAAAAGACCAGAGACTGGCTGACGGTGAATTCTTGGGGAACTTCTCGTGACGTTTTAAGAGGATCAGCTTCGATAATGGCTCAGAGTTGGTCGTTGTCAACTTCAGATGGCCGGCCACTATGCTCCTCATCTCCAAGGCTCTCATCTCCTTTGCAAAACTTCTTGAACCACCACTGCACTGTATGTTCATTAGCAGTTCCTGGGCCAAAGGTATTGTTGGCGTTGTAAGCTGTCTCCACTGCTTTACAACCCATTTGAACTCAAATAAGAAAATCACTCGAATTTGCTTTTGTCTAACATTGTTTCCCTAGCCTAAAATATAGAGCAAGTAATAAATCATTAGGAAAAACATAGCATGAGAAATGTGCATTAAAATGATGTTTTAACATAATCACATTTATTTAAGAAAGTATTCCAATATCAAATAACAAATGTCAACAATGCAAAAACTGCAATTACTTTTGCACCAACCTAATATAATTCAAACATGCATAATTGTGCATAACTAAAGATACTTCCACAGATACCAAATACCTATTTGAACACATTCATCTGTTGAATTAATGAATAGTTTTTTATATATTTCCCAATTCTAATTTAAAACTATATATCAAGAGCCATAGCTAGAGTTCCTGTATTTTTCTCTGGGTATCTCTGTCTTGTATGATGCAACACATTCTTCAGTTCAGTTCAGTTCAGTTGCTCAGTCATGTCCAACTCTTTGCAACCCCATGAACCACAGCATGCCAGGCCTCCCTGTCCATCACCAACTGCCAGAGTCTACCCAGACCCATGTCCATTGAGTCAGTGATGCCATCCAACCATCTCCTCCTCTGTCATCCCCTTCTCCTCCTGCCTTCAATCTTTCCCAGCATCAGGGTCTTTTCAAATGAGTCAGCTCTTCGCATCAGGTGGCCAAAGTATTGGCATTTCAGCTTCAACATCAGTCCTTCCAACGACCACTCAGGAGGGATCTCCTTTAGGATGGACTGGTTGGATTTCCCTGCAGTCCAAGGGACTCTCAAGAGTCTTCTCCAACACCACAGTTCAAAAGCATCAATTCTTTGGCGCTCAGCTTTCTTTATAGTCCAACTCTAACATCCATACATGACCACTGGAAAAACCATAGCCTTAACTAGACAGACCTTTGTTGGCAAAGTAATGTCTCTGCTTTTTAATATGCTATCTAGGTTGGTCATAACTTTCCTTCCAAAGAGTAAGCGTCTTTTAATTTCATGGCTGCAGTCACCATCTGCAGTGATTTTGGAGCCCCCCAAAATAAAGTCTGACACTGTTTCCACTGTTTCCCCATCTNTGGCCACTGCTGAGTTTTCCAAATTTGCTGACATTGAGTGCAGCACTTTCACAGCATCATCTTTTAGGATTTGAGATAACTCAACTGGAATTCCATCACCTCCACTAGCTTTGTTCGTAGTGATACTTCCTAAGGCCCACTTGACTTCACATTCCCATATATCTGGCTCTAGGTGAGTGTGAGTGATCACACCATGGTGATTATCTGGGTCATGAAGATCTTTTTTGTACAGTTCTTCTGTGTATTCTTGCCACCTCTTCTTAATATCTTCTGCTTCTGTCAGGTCCATAGCACTTCTGACCTTTATTGAGCCCATCTTTGCATGAAATGTTCCCTTGGTATCTCTAATTTTCTTGAAGAGATCTCTAGTCTTCCCCATTCTATTGTTTTCCTCTATTTCTTTGCAACCCACTCTAATATTAGAATGTTTTTTTACTTTATTTTGGAACTACTATTTTGTACACTTGAAAAAGCTCTTTATGAGAATGCTGATATGCTAAAATGAACAAAGCAAGTATCTGCCTCAAGGAGGTTAGAGTGGAAAACAGGAAAGTATAATTACCATGAGGTAAGTGTTATGATAATCATTAACCCAGAGTGGATCTACTCAGCCTTGGAGAGGATGGTCAGAGGAGAGAGGCTTCCTGAATTTTAAGACACCAAACTGAGTCCTGAAGATACATACAAATGAGTCAAGTAAAAAGTAACAGAAATAGAGAAGGTGAGACATAGCTATGTTAAAAGCTAAATAGAAATTGGCCAGGAGAAATGAGAGGGTAGGGAAGAACTTAATACTTAAAAATAGAAGTGGAGTGGAAGATACCACAAAAGAAGAATTGTTATTGCACTTAAACCCAGACTTGCTGCTCGGTAAAGGAGGCAATCTCATACAGGAAAAAAAAAACAAACTTTTTAAAAATTCAGTCACTCAGTCATGTTTGACTATTTGCGACCCTATGAATCGCAGCACATCAGGCCTCCCTGTCCATCACCAACTCCCAGAGTCTACCCAAACCCATGTCCATCGAGTCAGTAATGCCATCCAACCATCTCATCCTCTGTCGTCCCCTTCTCCTCCCACCTTCAGTCTTTCCCAGCATCAGGGTCTTTACCAATGAGTCAACTCTTTGCATCAGGTGGCCAAAGTATTGGAGTTTCAGCTTCAATATCAGTCCTTCCAATGAACACCC